TTCAATCTTAATTATGAAGGGAGCAGCAAGCTCAGCTCCAAGTCTAGTCGCGTGGCTCAGCTCAAGGTGCCGAGTTCTGTCTTAGTTGTGAGTGGGCGTAGCCACCATCTGATGTGGGAGTCGAACTGGCAGCCTTGTTGTTAAGAGCGCGTGCTCTATCCCCTGAGCCACCCGGGCGGCAGCTCATCTCAAGGTGCTGAGTTCAGTCTTAGTTGTGGACAGGCATAGCCCACCATCTCCAACAGGCAACCTTGTTGTTAGGAGCACGTGCTCTCACCAGCTGAGCCATCCTGCCACCTGTTAGCAGCTCAGTGGCAGCTCAGCTTGGGCACAGGTCACTGGCCCATGGAGGAATCGAACCAGCGACCCTGTTTGCTCAGAGCTCGCACTCTTGAGCAAGCTCTTAATCAACTGAGCCACTCTGCCAGCCTTGACAGCAGGGATTCTTAGCAGTCCAGAATGATGGAGTCTTAGAAATCTAGAATCATAGAACCTTACAAAATAGGTTTACATCAAATTCTAGAATCTCTGATATACAGTATCCTAGACCCTTAGAATCATCACACTCTAAAACAATGGTTCTCAACCAGGGGCAATTCCCCACCCACCCACCAGAGGATGTTGGAGGTCATTTTGTTTGTCATACGGGGATGATGCAGCTGACATCTAGTGGTTCGAGGTCAGGGGTGCTGCTAAACATCCTATGATGCGCAAAACAGCCCCCACAACAAGGAATTAGCCAGCCCAAAATGTTCATAGTGCCACAGGTTGAGAAACCCTGCCCTAGAATGTTCAAAGTCTAGAATCAGAATGTTAGACCCTGTTACATTCTAGAATTTTAGAAGTTGAGGGCAATGGATATTTATACTGTTTGAACTTTAGATCCTTAGAGTCATAGGACTTTAGAGCCACAGACACTTAATCTGGCCCTCCTATTTTTTTAGTCTCTACATAGTTGGGGAAACTAGTTCAAAGAGGGGACGGGATGACCAGGAGAGGGTCAGCCAGGTTTTCTGTCCCAAATAGCAAGAGCTTTTTTAAGCCTGGGGGTTAGGAGTCAAGATTGAACCCTTACAGGTGAGTTCTCTTCCCCTCCTACTTGTCTCCTTGTTTCCTGTTCTACTCCAGACTGCAAGTTTAACTGTCACAAACGCTGCGCCACCCGTGTCCCTAATGACTGTTTGGGGGAGGCTCTTATCAATGGAGGTAAGAGGCTGTGGGCTGAGCGGGAAGGGGCTGGGGGCCAGACTGGATGGAGGTCCCTCTGATGCCCTGCCCCCCCAGATGTGCCGATGGAGGAGGCCACCGATTTCAGTGAGGCTGACAAGAGCGCCCTCATGGATGAGTCAGACGATTCCGGTGTCATCCCGGGCTCACACTCAGAAAATGTCCTCCATGCCAGTGAGGAAGAGGAAGTCGAGGGAGGCAAGGCCCAGAGGTACCCAGGGTGCCCTCTGGGGATGCCCTTCTCAATTTCCACGATAGGTTGACATCACCCTCTTCTTGTAAATTTCCCAAGTTCCTGAGGTGAACCATTTAAGCACCCAGACTTTACTTTTTATTTTTTATTTTTTGTAAAGGTTTTTATTGGGGAATTGGGGGATGGGAACAGCGCTGGGGAATTGGGGGAAGGGGAACAGAGAAGTTGCTGTCCTTTTGCTCTTCAGTCTAGTTGTAGAGGACGTTGCTTCACTGGCCCAAGTTGGCACCATCATTGCNAACTGAGCCACTCGGCCAGCCCTTAAATCATACTTTTAATGATGCCAAGATGTCTCAAGGTTAAGCCCAAGCGTTAGGCTTGCAGGTCCCCTGTTTCCATCTTTATGCTTCTGAGTGAGAATGTTGAGATCTTGCCCACCTGCCAATGAAGGCCACATGCCTTGGCTATGCTCTACACACAGCAGATGAGGGCCATCCATTCGGCAATGATGATCTGCCCCACCGTTGTCTGTTCGGTGTGCCTGCAATTAGAGGCATGTTCTCAGATATTCCATTGTCTGAGGATCTCCAGCTTTGTGGCTGTCATGCTCATATGGAAATCTAAGGTCTTCGGTGCCCTATTTTCCAGATGACCTACATCATCAACTAGGATTGTTATGCAGACCTCAATATATTGTGGCATTATTTAAGGACTCACTATAATAGCCATACCAGGCCTGCAGAAAACAAATTCATTGCATTCAACGCTGCTATCAACATTGCTATCATCCACACATCATAGTCAACTCTTGATGTCTTGGCATATGTAACTTTCATCATGGTGCAACCCTGGTGTCATCAAATTCTAATGGGCAATCTTAGCATGGACGTCATTGGCCTAGCATCACAGATAATGCTTCAAGTTCATTTGGCTCCAAAAGACACCCAAATGACTGTATTTAATGCCACTGACACCTTCCTATAAGAGTTGGCCTCTACCTGGATACTTATATCGGGAGTCATGGGTGAGATTCTGAAATTATGCGAAGCATATGAGTGATGAAAGGCCAAAACTGGGAAATGGTTCCTGTGTGCAAAGGCCATTTGCCACCCGGAAGGTTTTCTCACAGCGCCAACAGCGTGCCTGAACTGTACCTCTGCAGTGTGACATCACATATCCGAGACGGTGCCTGTGATGGAGAATTACTGAGCTGGAAAGTCTGTAACAGGCGGGCTACCAGAAGACAAGCTTTACGAAGCGCTCTGAAAGAAGCTTCCAGAGGCTGGAGGAACTTTCTTTACTCCAGGTCAGACAGCGGTCCTGGAACCATTTAGAATCACCAGAGATGGATTAGAGCAAGGGCTCAGGAAACCCAATGGGAACTTCCAGCTGAGCCTAATTCTTTCATGGATGAGGATTAAAAACAGAAAAGTTTAAAAAGAAAAACCAATTAACCAATAAGAAAGTCATGCTTCCACCTGATATGATACAACCATCCTGAGTACAACGGAAAACACGCTAACCCTTTCTTTCCCCAGAAGAAGATGTGTTTCCTTGGGTGGTCGGTGTTCATTCTTCTCCTTTGACGTCCTATAACTTAAATACCACGATATAATGTTTACTATTACTATCTTATGTTAGGTGATAAGGGGGTGGAAGAGGGGAGAAAACAAAAATACTTGGTATACACACAAATATTCATAAAATAAGGAGGAAAAAACTCCTAACAATTACAGACTTCATTTCTGCAACTTGGTCACACGGTAGTGGCTTCTTTCTTCAACTCCCCAATCCGTTTTCCCTTTACCCTCAGCAAGCACCTCACTTGCTTCGTGATGCTTGGTGTGGCCCAAACCTTCATTCCTGAAGGTTCTGGGCCATTAGCTGTTCTGCCTGAATTGGGTTTTTGTAGATTTGTATTGACTTTAATCACACCACTGAGAGGCGTCCTGAGGGATCTAGAATACTTCTAGAGCTGCAGAAAAGGAGAAGGGGGCCAGAGCTTTAGAGGTCAGGGCAGGTGGAAGCTATGTCTCTGACCGTCTGGCGCCCCCCGCAGGCTGCGGACTGAACTACCACAAACGCTGCGCCTTCAGCATCCCCAACAACTGCAGTGGGGCCCGCAAGCGTCGCCTGTCGTCCACGTCTTTGGCCAGTGGCCATTCGTTGCGTCTGGGCACCTCGGACTCCCTGCCCTGCCTGGCTGACGAGCTGGTGAGGGGCTGGAGAGTGGGCTAGGTTGGTGGCTGAGGGGGGTGACGAGGCCCAGGCATGCGGCAACTCTCTGATGTGCCCCTTCCACTGTTGCTGACCGATAGAGCCGCAGCACCACCGAGCTCCTGCCTCGCCGCCCCCCCTCGTCGTCCTCCTCATCGTCTGCCTCATCCTACACGGGTCGCCCCATCGAGCTGGACAAGATGTTGCTCTCCAAGGTCAAGGTGCCACACACCTTCCTCATCCACAGCTACACACGACCCACCGTCTGCCAGGCTTGCAAGAAACTTCTCAAGGGCCTCTTCCGCCAGGGTCTTCAGTGCAAAGGTCAGCAGGGGACCCCGCGTGGGGTGGGAGACAGACAGGGTCAGAACTACCTCCCCCTATACACACCCATAGGCATAGGATCTTAGCTGGGCTTGTGGCAGAACACAAGTATCTCAGTATTCCAATCCTAGGAGCACAGGGCCTTCACAGGGGGTGTGCCCTGAATCCTGGTGTTCTATAACTTTTGGAATTCTGGAATCCTAGAACCTTAGTCATAAGAAACTTAGAATCCTAGGACCTTGTAAACCTGGATTCGTAAGACAGCATGAAATTCTAAAGCTGTAGAACTTGAGAATTCTAGAATCAGAGAACCTTAGAAACCTAGGATTCAAGAATTCTGGGTCATGGGATTCAGCCAAAAGAATCATAGAACTTTAGACTCATAAATCTTAGAACTACCAAATTGTAGATTCTCAAAATATTAGAACTTTAGAACCATAGGATTTGAGAATAACAGAAGCCTAGAAGCATCCAGTTCGAGTCTTAGACATCTAGAATTATATACCCAAGAAATCCTAGCATTCTAGATTCTAGAACCCCAGAATATTGAATGATCAAATTCTAGAATCCATAAAAACTTAAACTATCCAATTCTAGAATACACTGGAACAACTAGGTACTAGAATTTTGGATGCACAGGATCCTAGAACCTTGGAATAATCAGTTTCTGGAGACTTAGAAGTCCCGAATCATAGAAATCTAGAG